AGAGAGAGAGAGAGAGAGAGAGTTTGACAAATATAACTTTTTTCTTATACATTATATATCATAATAAGTGTTATATAATTGTATTGAATGTTCACTCGAAGTCACATATATTTTGTTAACAACATCTCTCACTCCATATCTGAATCCCTGTGCAGATCCGCCGGAGGCGCCCATTGTTAAAGTGGACAGTCTGTCCGCTACTGACGCAACGCTGATGTGGGAAATGGTGGTCAGGGATGACGGCGGCAATCAAGTGGACGGTTTTATCATCAGTTATCGCACCGACACCACCACCGGTAGTGCCATCAGCGGCACCGCTGGTAGTGAACAGTCAGCGCAATGGGAGACAATACAATTGACTCGTCAGCACAAAAACTATGTCCTCAGGAATTTGAGATGCGGTACCACTTATATCGTTAAGATCGAGGCCTTCAACGAAGTGGGCACCGGTAGGCCCAGCGATGAACTGCGATTCACTACACAAGGAAAGGGTATGACTTATGCAATGATTTATGATTGCGTTTACTGTTAATTATATTGACTTTTTTTGTGTTTAATATGTTATTAATTAAGTTATATCTTAAGGGATTAAGTTTATGACAATATAATCCATATTATGGATTTGATAGAGATTTTAATCTTAAGTTTATTTTGCGTTAAACTATTGTTATTTTGAAATGTTTCTAATATTTGTTATGTTAAAGATGATCAAAGAATTTATAATTAATATATTTTTCTGACTATAATAGCGCCCATAGCCGGAGAACGATCTCTAATATTCACGCCAAACATAACGTTTGTTTTGCTTCATCTGAGCCGATGGTCAGACGGCGGCTGTCCTATCAGTCACTTTATCGTACAATATAAGCCCAGACAACAGGCCATGGATTGGATTCTGCATTCAAACCACATCCCACCCGAACAGAGCACAGTTATGTTGACTGATCTGCAAGCGGGCACGTGGTATGACCTGTTGGTGTCCGCTCGCAATGAGGCGGGCATTACCGAAATGGAGTACAGAGTGGCCACTCTTACGCAGACGGGCGCCACCGTTGAGCCGCTCAGTTCGTACGACCGCTCCTCCCGGGTATCCCTCTTCGAAGACCCCATGATTTTGATCCCAGCCTTTTGTGCGATCGTTGTGTTAATAGTAGTGAGTTGTGCCACCGGTTTCATACTCATCTGGAAGTCACGGGAAGGGAGGGCCGCCGGAGACTCATGTAAGCCATTCATCATTGAATAAATCCAGAATTGTTTTAGTTTATAAATTTATTATAAAAATGTTTGAGTTGTCATTGATATAAATGCTGTTGTTATTAAGATATATTATATTTTGAAATCGAGAATTCATGATAAACAACAAAAATTCATCACTAATTCATCATTTTTTGTTTTAATTAAATGGGGATAAAAATTCAGAGATACAGATCTGTAATACCCTTTTCACCCAATTTCTACCCCTTTCTAATCCCAGTTCTTATAAGCCATTGGTGTTATGTTTCGTTGTATTGCACGTCGTTTTGCTATAATAACTAATTTATAAAAACAGACTTCAATTATATTAACAATAAAATAAGAGTCAAACACAAAGTCACTCAAGAGATTCCCTACTAATTGCTTGTTCTCTCACCATGATTTTGATCCCAGCCTTTTGTGCGATCGTTGTGTTAATAGTAGTGAGTTGTGCCACCGGTTTCATACTCATCTGGAAGTCACGGGAAGGGAGGGCCGCCGGAGACTCATGTAAGCCATTCATAATTGAATAAATTCAGAAGTGTTCTAGTTTATAAATTTATTAATTTATTATAAAATATTTTTCTATATACTGCTGAAAATGTTTGAGTTGTCATTGATATAAATGTTGTCGTTATTAAGATTTATTATATTTTGAAATCGAGAATTTATGATAAACAACACAAATATCATTAATTCATCATTTTTTGTTTTAATTAAATGGGGATAAAAATTGAGAGATACAGATCTGTAATACCCTTTTCACCCAATTTCTACCCCTTTCTAATCCCAGTTCTTATAAGCCATTGGTGTTATGTTCCGTTGTATTGCACGTCGTTTTGCTATAATAACTAATTTATAAAAACAGACTTCAATTATATTAACAATAAAATAAGAGTCAAACACAAAGTCACTCAAGAGATTCCCTACTAATTGCTTGTTCTCTCAGTTTATTAATCTCTCTCTCTCTCTCTCTCTCTCTCCATATCTGAATCCCTGTGCAGATCCGCCGGAGGCGCCCATTGTAAAAGTGGACAGTCTGTCCGCTACTGACGCAACGCTGATGTGGGAAACTTTCCTCGCACTGAGACCTATCATTTGATGCCAATGAGGACTATCATTGAAATTATAGTAATATCACGATATTCACCATTTAGTCAACCATTCTCTCTCTCTCTCTCTCTCTCTCTCTCTCTCTCTACTTTCATTTATACCTATCCCTCAAATTCCTATCCCTTTTGTGTTTTGTTTGTTGTATTTTTTATTCGCTTTCAGTGTCTGTTTGTACTTTTGTGTGCATTTTATTCGCGACTCCAATGCATTCATTCAATCCGTTTTTGTCTTATTATTGTTCACTTAATTCCTGTTGAGTTTAAGTTAATTGAATGAGAAGTGAATCGAGAGGTTTGTATAGAAAGCACGAGAGAGAGAGAGAGAGAGAGAGAGAGAGAGAATTGTTAGAGAAAAACAAGAATTAGGGAACAGTAGGGGTTGGGAACACACTTTCCATCACATATAAAACAATAGGATAAACTTGTTTAGAGCTAATAAAAGCCTGAGAGTGTGACTGATGTGTGTCTATAAGTCTATTTAGGATAACAAAATATCTATAATGTTGTTTAGATTCTTAAGTCTAGTTATTTGTTGAGAATTTGTTAATTAATTGCTTTTGTAAAATGTAAAGAATTTATTGATGTTTTAGTTTTAGGCAAGAATTTTGATTTCAGGAATTAAGTGCAGCCCTTATAACACACTAATGAATGAAATATTCTGCTATTGTATCGCAAAATAAAGTCATTTATTATGTCGTCGTTTTTGTGCACTTTATTGCTTTAAATTATATAATGAATAATTGATTGTCTAATAATAATAATACAATGCAATAATACAACACCTTTTCCTATACATATCATCAATACTACATCTTTCTCTCTCTTAATTCTATATAACTTTCAGTCTTTTTAGACTTTAAGAGCCATTTTTCTCTTTACATTTTCTTCCTTTTCTTTCTTATTTTTTATATTGTAAATCATTTTCTTTAAGTTATGATTAATAGTAACCCACGACTTGTGATCAATGATTTCAGGCCATATATTAGTCGCATAGCTCTACCATACAGTATAGTTGGATAGTATTATATAATACTTATGTATAATTTATATAATTTTGATGTTGAAGTGCGGGCACAGAATTGTCGGGGCTTTACTCTCTTACCCCGTGTCATATCCTAATAAAAATGCAAATCACTTTTATATCGATGCGAGACATTCATAAGTAGTGATCCGATATTTTTTCACGACTTGTGACACTTTTTATATTAAAAATATAATACAATTAGTATTTTTAAATGTGATAAACAACACACGTAATTATTACCATGTATTTGATTTATAATAACTTAAACAAATTCATGAATATTTGAAATAAGGATTGATATTTAAAATAATTTAAATGTTATGATTGTATTGTGTATATAGACTGCAGACACCGTGAAAATAGTCGTTCCGATGATTTATCGCTCAATTCATATAATAAAGTAT